ATACTTCAGTCGCTTAAAGCAACCACATTGCCTTCCAAGCTTAGGAGGGGTGCTTTTCCTTGATCTACTCTCTACTCCCTTGGTCACTGGACACTAATTCTCTTGTTCCATACATACTTTCCCCTATGATAGAAACCATCTAATTTGGCTTCTCTCAAGAAGATCATTGCCTCTCTATTCCATTAAGTCATTCCTATTCAGACTAGGGAAAAAGCTTTTCCTATTTTTCTAGACCCCCAGAATAATTTTGCTCTGGTGACAGACTAAGAATGGTCTCCCAAGTATTTATGGAATGTCTCCTTCATTTTCCATATCAAGGACTTCAAATATATAAAATACTATGTCCTCTCAAATCTTTATTTTTCCAGGCAAAATATTTCCACTTTTTTCAGCTATACATCACATGACATGGTTTTGATTCCCTCTAATGTATTGGCCACTCTCCTCTAAATGGCCCCCAGTTTGCTGATAAGCCTCCTAAAAGGTGTTAAGGAATGATACCCACAGAGGAATATAGTTCTCTGGGTGTGATCTGAGCAGTGCTGAACAGAAAAGGGTCACAACCGACTTGTTACAAGGATGGTACACTCTTAGCACAGTGGGAAGACTGGTGGTATACTTATTGTATGTGCGATATTGGTGATCATGTCAGAGGATCCACTCATATTGGGCTTACTGTAATATGAAACACATAAATCACGTTCAGCCATGCTGTTGGTAAAATAGATTCATTCCTCTCAACATACAAACATCTCACGTCACTTCCACACTAAATTATAAACGCCCCCATGTTTTCTACAGTGATCATCTCTTCACAACAAAATATCCTTCCTCCTTTACTGTCTATCACTGCTCAATCCAGGTGATTCTGATCTGAGTACTTTGAAGTTACTCTTATAAATAATGCTAATAAGAAAAATCCAATAGTTTCTTTTCAGGCCCAGTCCTGCCCTCTAGAATGTTGACATTGTTGGCCACTCCCTCATTCTTGGGTTCTAGATTCTACTGCCTTCCAACTCCCATAGCACTTTCAAGGTTCCCTTCCCATTTCAAACAGTTTCTCTTCAGGCTGTCCCACCCATATCTCTGTTATTATCCCACTTAAAACACATCAATGCCTCCTTATAGCAGTTGTTCACAAGCCATTTATATATTGGAACCATCTGGGGAGCTTTTAAACATAGCTAAGTCCAGGCCCCATCCCAGACAAATTGAATCAGAATTAATATAGAGACTCCTGGATTTAAAAACCATCAGAGATGGCCCCTACTTTTTGGTCCAGCATCACCTCTCATCCCTTACCTAATGATCTAACCATATTAAATAGATTTCTTCAACATGGGCTGTTTTCTCTTTCTAGGTTGTGCACTGTCAGTTTAAGTGTCACCTCCTCTGTGAAGCCTTCCCTAGGTCTACATCAACTACACACTATTTTTTCCTTACTATTTAATTCCTTTGACTTGATAGTGAGACAGGGTTTAGGTTGAGTCAAGTTGGTAAAGCTGTAGGTATGCCCAAATCAAGGAGCCAAGAGTAGGGAGGGGTAGAAGGTAGAGTATGAAGAAGGGGTGGTACTCATATCCCTTTCAAAACCTTCACACGCATGTACATAGACACACACACACAGACACACAGACATACACACACACAGTGAATGAAAGTGGGGTCCTCTTCAAAGACCTTAGATTGCAAAGAAGTGAAAAGAAAGCATTTGGGGAAGAGATAAAGGATGTAGGAGGATTGTTTTATAATTAAAGGATCAAAAGAAAGTAGGATGTAGTCGGCTGGGGATAATAGTGAGGGAGAAGCGATTGTCTTTTGGCAAAGGGCCTTGGGTGACTGGAATGAGAAGTTTGGGGCAGACATGAGGGAGCTTGTGGGATTTACATAGCTGGTGGGGTGAGGGGTGTGTGGTCAGCAGCTGTGGGCAGCTGTCTGCAGCTTCTCAGAACCAGTTTTTGATTCTGAACTAGGATTGATGTAAAGGTCATTGGTCCGTTGTTTGTGGTCAAACTTCTTTCTAGTTTTGAATACTTGTTCTTCTGATTGTTTCAAAAGTTGCCGTCCTGTGATTTCCCTCTTAAACTATCTTAGTATCTTGAAATAGAGAATAATATTGATTGCCTACCCAACACCATTTCCCATTTACTCTTTAAATAACTTCTTTCCCACACAGCTATGTGCTTTAAAGAAACATGATTCCATTCCCACCTCCTTATTATGATTAGTCTAAAGTTTAGAGCAATCTGTGCATGGCGTTTCCCAGGCAACTGTAATTGGTTTGGGGGATGTACCTAACCCCAAATCTAATTGGTTAGGGGATAGGGTTTCTCTTCTTCTGGACACATAGAAGAACTTTTGTAGCCCAGTGACCACTGACAGCCATCTTCCAACAAAGAGAAAAACAAAGGGATAAACCCGCTCCTGAAGACAGCAAAGCAGAGGGATGCAAAGAATCTAAAGCTTTGATGATATCACTGAGCCACTGAATCAGCCAAACTTGGATCCTGCCCTGCCTCTGGACTCTTTGTTATATGAGAAAATAAATGTTATCAGTTAAGCCATTTCTGGTGATGATTTCTGTTATTGTAGCCAAAAGCATCTTAACCTTCATCTGGATATAATTTAAAAAGATTAAATGCCTTAAACTCACATAAATTAAATGATTATCTCCTCAAAATTTCTTCAACCTTCTTGAATCTTGGCCTTAGTTCTCTCTTTCCAATATTGGTTCTAGAACTCTGCATTCAAATATCACTGAGATGCACATACTGCTGCTACCACTCAGCTCATAGACCTTCCAGGAAAGCGAGGGAGGACTGAGATGAGAGCTCCTTCCCCTTCCCAAGGCTTGGAAAGGAGTCAGATTGATTTTAACTTACCTAGTACAGGAAGCAAGTTGTTAAAGCTTTTTAAAATTATTATTATAAAATAACATATGCATCTGAGATAGCTCTAGAATGGAATTCCCAAATGATAGGACTGTATGATTTGAAAGAGGAAGAAAAAGTTAATGTGTCATCTGGTGTGTGAATATTTTATTGTCATTGAAAAAAGTTGTAAGTCCATTCATCACACTTGGTTTGCTACTCTATATCCTTTGCTTGTTCTTCAGAGGAAAACAGAATAGTTTTTGTAGCTACAAGAGGCACATTTCTCAGTTCCTGAAAGTTTTGTAGAACAGCAGCAGGAAAGAATTATTTCCAATGATCTCACAATTGACACAAAGTTGTAATTTCATTTCTCTTCAAGAAGGCGGTCTTTCAGATATTGAAATTAGAAGGCTTTTTAAAAAATGATAATACAGAAGAGACAAATTGACACTTCGATGATGATTTTTTGTCTTTCCTGTCACTATTGGCAAAACAAGTCACTACTAAGGTGACTTCCAAAAACACTTAACAACTGTAAAAATTCCAAATTAATCAAATGAATTAAAACTTAGGAAAGAGAAAGTCCAAGCGATCCTTCTAATTAGGGAATATAGACCAAAAGTAGAATATTTCACAGTCAAATTTAGTATACAAACAATCAAGGAAACATATATTTTGAATTATTTGCATGTCTGCATTAAAAGTTTAAAATATCTTAAGTGAAAATGATAAAAATACATTCAGAAACTATGGCTTGTGGAATCATTACTTCTCCCTCTTCATAGCAAGAAGACTCTACAATAAGATTAGGCTGTCCCCATCTCCCCGTGTAAATTAAACCTCCCATAATCACTCTCTATCCAATTAACGTTTTATTTTCTTTAGAGCACTTATCGCTCTCCGAAATGTTCTTCTCTATTTGTTGTCTAATTCCACTAGAATGTAAACTCCGCAAAAGCAGAAACCTCATCTAGTGTATTGCTCCTGTGTTCTCAGCAAGGCACTTAGAACATCTAATGCCTTTTAGGGGCTTGGTAAATATCTGTTGCATACATAAATTATGGATAAATAAATCTTGGTGAAAATATGTTTTAATTTACAGGGGAAAAGAAAAGACTCTGTACAGTATATCCTAACTAATTCAATTAATTAGGAAAATTTTCCCCGAGAAGTATTAATAATGTGACATTGTTAACAGATAGGCATGGGCATTTAGAAGCTAGTTATGAAAAAAGAATGCAAATATGTACAGATCCTTTTTAATACAAAAAATATTTACGGAATGATTTGAATTATTTTAAACGTTTCTAAATTTAAATCTTCCCAAGTTGAAAGGTGTTTTACTAAGAAGGACAAATGCCATCTCGAGAATATTTATGATCAGAGATTTCTGACCCAGCCTGAGACCCGGGGCAACAATCACCAAAAGTAATTCTTCTAATTGCCCTAACTAACTAACTACTCTTTCACATGTAGCCAAAATCTCCAAAGATGGTGAAAACTTGCCAAACACAAACTATACTCATTTGTTCAGATTGCTATGACACAGCACCATAAACTGGCTAGCTTATAAACAACAAACATTTATTTTTCACGATTCTGGGAGGATTGGTGAGAGCCCACTTACGACATGGCTGCCCTTCTGCTGTAAACTCACAGCGTGGAAGGGGCGAGAGATCTCTCTGTGGCCTCCCAGATGGGATAAAGGTACCGAACCCATTTATGAGGGCTCTGATCTCATGACATAAGCACCTCCGAAAGACCCCCATCTCCTAATACCCTCACCTTGGTGGCGAGGATTTCAACATATGCATTTTGGGGAGACACAAACATTTGGACCATAGCACAGACAGACAAAAATGGCAGAGCCAAGAGTTGAAATTTCCGGTGTCTAACTTCAAAGCCTGTGCTTTTTTCAATATATAATATTTTCCAGTAAATCAGAGTTTGATGACATGTCAGACATGAAAATGAGATAGAAAGAAGGAACAGTTTAGAATCGTTTGGCATTTACAAAATACCTGCTTTTCATGATCTTAAAATTTTTGTGGTTAATCAAAAAGTGAAGGTCACATTAATAAGGTACTAGATGCGGTCAGACAAAAGTCAGTATCAGGTAATACATACAAACAGCATGTATGACGTTCCATCCAGGGAAGACCATTTCCATCATCATCACCATCAATTATTGAAGAACCTACTGGATGACAAAGCAGGTGTTATACTAAGGAATTAACCCAAGCATTTGAAACAGTAAATTTGATACTCCAAAGATCTTATTTCTTGAGTTAACTACAATTAACTGGAAAGCTCAAATGTGTTGACAGTATGTTAGTGTGAAACAATTAAGATATGCATCTTTGTCAAGCAAATTTCCTCCTCACTTCCATGCATTGGAAGCCAAATGCATGATTAGTACAGATTTGTTCAAAGGGTATAAAGTGGCAAAAATGCTGAACTAGTAACTGTATATATTGAAATTAAATGACAAATACTTGCTCTTTCACCTTGAATATTTACAGTAATATTTTGTTTCCTCTATGAGAGTCTTACTGCATGTAATAGAAAAGAAAATAAAAATGTCTTGAAATACAAGAGAATCTGATAAGGTCATTTGTAACATTTCTGAAAAGCTTTGAAATGCGGTCTTTAAAAAAATGCAAGTTTTAAAAAATGTCATCTATCAACATTTATTTCAGATTTATTCCAGCACAGATCAATACCTGATATAACTAAAGCATTGTTTTTCTCAATGCAAATGAAAAAAAAAAACAAAAGGAGCTTCAGTTAAAACAAGCCACATAGACCCAAATTTGAGATTCTCATAATTTTTGTCAAGTTCTACTAGAAAGTCTAAAAGTTTTGTTTGGACTTCTAGCTGGACTGGGAGTATAGAGAACTTTGCATTTAGGCACAATATTCCTAGTTACCTTTTTGCCCAAAGCTAAGGTTATCGCTTTCGTAATGAGTATTAATACTTCCTGTAAGGCAATCTGCTTTACCACCTGTTGTTGAAAATATTCCATTTTCTTTCACAGTTGCTAGAAGATTCCTCTGCTTACATTTTGATTTCACACAGCTTCTGTGAGCCTTTCATTAGAAAGAAATCAATTCTGTAGCTCAATTAATAGAAAATGTTTGTTTATATTCTAAACAATCTGATCAGGAGTGGTTGAAAGGAGAGCTAAGTGATTCAAAAGAGGGAAATAGAATATGCAGTTTCGAAGCTACCACTGGCCGAAAGCCAAATATATTCCAGGGCTGCTCAGTGACCAGCAAGACACAAATTGATCTTGGTTGTAGTCATAGAGGGCAGGCAGGTGCTTTTGACCCCAAACAGTTGCATTTCTTGGCCTCCTCTGTTCTGGCAGTGTCATCTGTAAGGCCAGGTAGCAGAAGAGCCTGTAGGACTAAACTCTTTGCTGTAACTGACTTGATTCATCTGGTGGGGGAAGCCGGCCCTTTGCTGGATTTCAGCAAACAATTGCTGTGGCACCATCTTTTATAAGCATAACACTCAAGAGAAAATACATATTAAATTTTGAAAGGCTGTTCTTGGGTCTCTAATCTCCATACTTTTCTTTGAAGATCATGCTTTCCATGAATATAATGGAGCATCATGAGAAGTTAAATAATATAAATATTGAATTATAAATTCTTATTAGGAAATGAAATGATGTGACTAAATTTTTAGTTTTGGAGAAATATTTTCTGTTTTAACTGAAAAATAAAAAGTGTACATTTAGGAAAGAGGTATAGAATAGACCCCATCTCAAAATTCATACCAATTTTTAGGAGACACAGAGAAATTAAAACCCACGGCTAAGCCTACATAATTACAAATGCCCATTTAATCACATGAATTCAGCCAACAAAGTAAATTTCATAAAAATCAATAAAAGTCTCTTTAGTTTTCTTTTCAGTCACATAGATGAGATAAACAGTTGACTAGTTGAGGATATTTTTAAATGGTCTTTTAAATAAATATCTGTTGTTCTTTTATTTAATCACAAAAGTAATACATGCTTATTATGGAAATTTTATAAAATATGAAAAGATCCAAAGTACAAAATAAAATTATCCATAAAGCTATTGTTCAAGTATAATCATCATTATGTTTTTATTGTATGTCTTTTGGATTTTTCTATGCATAAATTATATGTATGTTTACAAAAATATTGGGTTAAAATTGTATGCATCATTTTGTGACTTGTTTTCCCCCTCAATATTATACACAGTTTTCCTTTATTCTACTACATTTAATCTCTTATGACTGATATGTAAATTGTTGTCAGTGTTTTGTTAATATAAATACAGCTGCAATAAATGTCTTTGCAAATAAATTTGTATATCTACTTTCCATTATCTCATTAGGGAAATATTAGCACTGGAATTCTAAGATAAACACTTAGCCTTGTAGAAACATTGAAATAAATTATACTCTTACAAATGTGATAATAAGGCTAGTTTGACGATGCCCTAGCTAACACTGGGTGTTATCAACCACCTGTCTTCATATGTAGACAGAGCATAATCTAACAAGTGCAGGAGATGGACAAGTAGATATATTTCCTTGTAAATGGTCCAGAGATTTCCCCTGAGTTTCCTTTATGCTCAATTATAATATGAGTCAGAATCAAGTCTTCAAAAGCAGGACAAAGGGACTAAATTGACAAGAATTTGGGCCACCATGTCCATAACTTTCCTGTTGACTCATTTGTTCCTGCACACTCATGTGCCTTAGCTCTGAGGCTGCCTTTGTTTCAAGTTACTCAGTAAATCACAAAAGTCAAATCAGCAACAAAAGAAGTGAGTTGGAACACAGTACAGCGGTTGGCGCTTTTATCCCTGCAAGTTCAATGTTTTATTAAAGTATATTTGTCTATTTATCCATGAGACTAAAAAGCTGTGATTTGTTCCATCTTTTGTTACCCACAACAAAATCAGTATATTGAAAACAAACAAAACCAAATTAGTTTCCTAAGAAAATTCCAAAGGAATTACACTATCACAGGCATCAACAGTGTTTTCTATAAAGGACCAGATAGTAAATATTTTAGGCCTTGCCAGCCATATGGTCTCTGGCACAATTATTCAACTCTGCCCTTGTAGTATGAAAACAGTAATAGACAATATGTAAGCAGATGAGCGTGGCTGTGTTCCAATAAAACTTTATTTACAAAAATAGGCAGCTGGCTGGATTGGACCCTGAGGCTGTACCCTCAGGCAGACCCTCAGTCTGCCAACCCCTGCTCCATCTTACTATTTGATTGTAAAGAAAAAATACACCAAGGAATGTTTGTATAATTATCTTCCTGAAATGAAATCATTGTTTATATGAAGTGAAATCATTCTTTGCATTAAGATATAATTTTTATTAAACATCTGTTAAGTGTGAGGGATCACATGAGCCCCTGACATTCTAAGAAAGGGCCATAGAAGGGACAAGTCAAAGAAAAGGGCTGAAGGTGAAAGGGTCTCCACAGGGTGCCCTTTGCCTCACCCAAATAAAACTTAATACCGAAACTCTTCTAAAGTATCTTAGAGCTTATAAGTCTTCATAGTTAGCAACAATGCTAGACCCCAAAGCAAAAACAGAGCTCTGCTCGGTGAAAAGGGACAGCTGTACCATCACCAGTGAAGAGCGACCATTATCATCTTGATCACTGAGTATTAGTATTGGCAGGTTTGTTGCACGTTATCGATTATTTTGGTGCTTATTTGGAGATAATTTTCAAACATTAGCTATCATGGCTAGTAAGAGCAAATAACAAAGGAGTGACGGAACGGCTTGAAAGTGCTTGCGAGAGGCCTGAGATGACAAAAGAAATGTTCAAATGTAAAGTCAGAACTAATACACAGTTCTTTTATAAAACCACTTAATATAGCTGTCAGATTGTATACACTTTTATAGTGTCACTTTGGCTCTATGAATAAAAGGACTTATGTATCAATGAGCTAACATGCTCAAAAGTTCAGAAGAGACTTTGTATTCTTTTCCTTCATGACACAAACCTTTCTGCCAAAGAATTTTGGCTTCTGTTGCAGATTAATTATGGCCACAAATCCTTTGACACTTTTACTGAGATCTGGGCTCTATACTCTCTCAGATTCTCTGACTAAAAGAGTACAATGAAAGCCCCCTTTCTCAGTTTTCAGGCCTAGGTCTCAGGAGCCTACCATTTTCATTTTCTGTTTCTTGTAACACTACACTTGGAACCATGAATGGCTGAGTAAGAAGTCCAGTTACCCTGCTGGAGAGTAGGAAATCCAACTATCTTGGGACACAGAGAGGCCCCAAGACCACATGAAGAGGAATAGGGGCCCAGCTGAGCCCAGCCCTGCAGCCATCCCATCAAGGCATCAGCCATGTAGGCAAAGCCATCTTGGACGCTCAGGACCAATTCAGTGGCCAGAATGTTAGCAGAAGAATCACCCAGCTAAATCCTTTCCAAATTCCTGACTCACAAAATTGTGAGATATAATAAACGTTTTGTTGTTTTAATCCACTAAGTTTTGGTGTACTTTGTAATGCAGCAATAGGTAACTTGAGTAGCATACATGAATGACAAACAACAAGAGATACTTATATGCATCCTAGCAATTACTTTGCGTTTCTCTCTTTTATTTTCCGGTTACTTTCAATAAAATACACATCCCTGGTTTTGCACCTCTGGGTGTCGTCATCTGAAAGTTCTGTTTCACTTCCTAAACAATGACCTTCACCAAGAAATATCTAAGATCACTGTTGACACATAATTACCAATAAAAAAATTACTTTTTAAAAATTTAAAATCTGGGGAGATTGGTTCAAGATGGTGGAGTAGAAGGACGTGCTCTCACTCCCTCTTGCAAGAACACTGGAATCACAGCTAACTGCTGAACAATCATTGACAGGAAGACACTGGAACTCACCAAAAAAGATACCCCATATCCAAAGACAAAGGAGAAGCCACAATGAGATGGTAGGAGGGGCGCAATGAAAATAAAATCAAATCCCATAACTGTTGGGTGGGAGACCCACAAACTGGAGAACACTTATACCACAGAAGTCCACCCACTGGAGTGAAGGTTCTGAGCCCCACATCAGGCTTCCCAACCTGGGGGTCCAGCAATGGGAGGAGGAATTCCTAGAGAATCAGATTTTGAAGGCTAGCGGGATTTGATTGCAGGACTTTGACAGGACTGGGGGAAACAGAG